ACTCCTCCCAATCTTCCTTCACATCACAGAGAATGGGTAGTAGCATTGTACCCAGATCCTGATGAAGATATCAATAAAACTCAGAGAATGTAAAGCTGGATCCAGAGCATCACTCAGAAGAGGCTTATCAAGTATTAGTCCGTAGTCTAATACTCTGGTTTGTGTTTATGGCTTTTTGTTTTTCATTGGGCCACCTCTCGGACATTAGGGAGAGATCCCTCATTGAGCCTCATGTACAGGGGCCCAGGTCATCATCTCCCAGTAGACTGTACCTTACAGGGTTATAATCTCTCTGAGTCACCAGGTCTCCTAACTTTGGAGACATGTGTAAACATCACGGACATTAGAGGATCATGGTTAGCTACAAAATCTAGATGCTTCTGTGTTTTTCTTCCCATCCCAAATAAACAGTAGGGATGCTAATGAGCCTCCAAATGGAGAACCAAAAATCCCTTTTCCCTGGGATTTTCCACAGCTTTTTAGCCAAGGGTGAGGACCTTCCAGCATGCTCAGGAAAAGGGCTGTGTGTTTTGACCTTTCCTCTAGAGCCTTGTTTACTTTCAGAGAGCCCAGGAAGGGCCTACAGACACTGCTTGGCTCAGGGGACTTGGCAGACGCGAGTGAACGCCACAGCTATTTGGCAGGATGACTCAGAATGCTCAGAGAACCACAGCTTCAAACAAAACGTGAGTTTACCGGTTTGCTGATAAAGCACCTAGGACCAGAAGTTGAGGCACCCCAGGGGATGGCCAGCTTTGGGGGACACACATGGTACCTTCAACCAGCTCATCTGCTCCAGAGTCCACTAGGGAAGGTCTGCAGTCACCCAACCAGCGACTCCCACGGCAGTCACAGAATTTTCTCCTCTGTGAGATGAAACGTGAAATCCAAAGGGGACCCTTCCAGACGTGACCCAGCTTCGGCATCCGCTGTGTCCGGTGTCTGGAACAGCTTCCCAACAAACCAGCATTCAGGTTTCAGTTCAGTTGTCCCCTAGCACGAGAGACAGCCCATGGCCCCATTCAAAGCAGCCCAGTGTCCACCTGCACGGCACTGCTCAC